TCTCTCACATGACCCTGACTCCTCCTCCTCACGTGACCCAGACTCCGCCCCCTCATTCCTTGCTCGCATTACACATGTAACAGCTGTATCCCTCTTACACCTCGATTGTCTTAGAAGCCTCTGGATTTTACATAGGGGATCTTTTTCTACGTGTGTCCGTGTGACCCAGTCCTGGGCCTTCCCTTGGTCGACTCACCCTCTAATGAGTACCTGGTGCAGTGTCTATACTAAACATCAGCACTTGGGAGAGACAAAGGTGGCCGCGTGTATGGTGTTGGCCACATCCCCACAGCGAATTTTGGCAAACCATCGAACAAAGGCAGTCGCTGCATCGCGCTTTCAGAAGCGATTCTGCGGCAGTCTCGAACGCTCTTCCTTCTGATATTAGGAAGCCACTGGAGCTGTGCACTTTTACATCTCGATTGAAAACTAATTTCTTTAGAACTACTTTTGTGCTTGGTTTGTTGTCCTTCCCCTGCACCTACGATTAGCACGGTTGGCTACGTACCGTGCAAAAGAAGTTCAACATACAAAATACATACCACCCCCTCGTGTGTTCCACAGCACAAGGCTCCACAACTGGCCCTAACATGTCTATTGAGGCTACTTTGGTGACCTGTGTGTGTGCATAATTAATTATCATTATTTTATGAAATGGCTTCCATCAACAAAGGACACGAGTCCATTGTGGGACGGGGACAACGTGTGGGGCCCTTCGTGGAGCTGATTCTCGCAATGGCAAAGGAAGAGTTGGAGGGACGCAGCAGAGGAGGGGTGGCACAGCACGATGGTCGTGCTGAGAGTGAACGTGGCAATGGGGGAGGCTCCGGAGTTGGGCCTCCTCAGGGCGACTGGCGATCGAGTGGAGAAGTCAAGGTGAGAGTGACTCGGGGGATGGGGGTGAGGTGAGTGGAGGGGTGACTAGGGGAGTGGACGTGCACCTGATTATGCACGAATGTGAGTGGACTGCCCATGCATTCATCATCATTATCGGCATCATCACCAGTGGTAAATCCACTGTTGGATGAAGGCCTCTCCAAACCAACGTCACTTCTCGTGACGCCTGCGCAGTGACAATCGGGCCCCAGCAGCACCTGTGCATGAGCCTCCAACCTCCTCCCCTCCAAGTTACTCTTGATCATCGGCCATCGGCACTTCCAGAAAAGTTTTCATCTGCGTGTTGCTCTTTCCATCTCTTGGTTTAATCAACATGGTCAACATGAGGAGGGATCTTAACTCTGTGTATGTTCTCTCATCTGCGCGTTCCTCTGTCTTGGTGTGATTTCGAGCACGCGTCTCTTCATGCTTCTCTGCGCAGGGTTTGTTCTGTACGTGTTTCTTGCGCTGGTGTGGTGCCCGTCAGGATGCCACTCAATACAAAGCAAATGGAAGGAGTGAAATTCTCTTGGGACCACAGCCTCCTCTCAATTCTTCACTCCTGGTGTACAAGTCAGCAGCTGGGACCATCATTGCTATCCATTAATATGTACGGGCTGCTAAGGATTCTCTTAATCTCTAAACGATGACTCTCTGAGTATCGACCGCAGTGCATTTCTCAGCTCTATTGAGCACCCGGTAAAGATCGAGAAACTCAGCTCAAATGGTGACTTCGGGTGATCAGCTAATAAATACATCAGGATGTGCACCCTCATGAATAACAAACGTGCATTGCGGAAGGTGCCGCCTGACCACCATGCTGCATACTGCTGTATTATTCACCCACCCACACATGGACAAGCCTGTGTGCGTATGCGTATCATCAAGTAATTGAAGTGTTTCGCGTATTGCGCGATTAACTTGGCAACATCCGTACCGATGAACTAAACTGGTTTTGGGCTAACCCTAGGTCGACTCCGCCTCCAAAGAGTACCTAGTGTGGTGAGTAAACATCACCACTCGGGAGATAAAGGCGGCCAGGCATGGTGCTGGCCACCCACCTCATTGTGTACAGTGCTGGCTTTCATAGGTGCTCGCTAAAAGCACTTGCCTCAAGAGTCCGTTGAGGTTATACAGACAACCTTTGTCTGTGTTTAATGTTTTAATTGTGGAAGTGTAATTTTAAATGTTAACATTTTTCATGGCCAACTTGCACTTCGGCCACTTCCGGACCCAACAAATAAATCTGTTCCTCTTGGTAGCGGTGGTGGCGGTGGGCGCGGTGGTGGTGGTGTATATTTATAGAGTGCCTTCTCTCAAGGTGCTGTTTTTGTTTCATGTATGTAATGGCAGAGATTAGGGATTACTAAAGTACAACCATAACCACAATCATATTAACAGAAATCTATTTTACACGCGTTAATTTAACTCACTCCGTCTGTTGTCGTATCCTCCAAAAATATTGTAACTCAATTTTTACCCACTTCCCAATGTGCTATCGACTGCAAACTTGGTATACTTATGTCATACTGATGACAAGACTATATTCTATCATTAAAAATATATATTTAAACATTTTACACGATTTTATTTAACTCACTGTCTGTTATATCCTCAAATCTTGTAACTCAATTTCAACCGTCTTCCCAATGTCGTATCAACTGCAAACTTAGTATAGGTATGTCATACTGATGACAATACTATATTCTATCATTAAAAATCCAAAACATATATTTTTAAACATTTTACACGCTTTTATTTAACTCACACTGTCTGTTGTCATATCCTAAAATCTTGTAACTCAATTTCAACCGTCTTCCCAATTTCGTATCGACTGCAAACTTGGTATAGGTATGTCATACTGATGACAATACTATATTCTATCATAAAAAAAAATTTAACATTTTTACGGGTATAATTGTCCACGCTCAAATCACGTTGGCTGTAAATCACCACGGTCCCTTACGTTATGGCAAGCCTCGGGGAGCCACGTCGAGGGGCGGGGGATGTGGAAGGAGGGGAGGGGCGATGGGGGGAAGGGAGCACGGGGAGGGGCAGCTCGGAGTTGGCCGGGGGGGGGGGGGGGGCTCCCTCACGCTATGGCAAGCTTCGGGGCCACTCCCTAGGGTCGTGGAGTTCTGCCATTACTCGTACGGTACATTTCATTAAAGCGTGTTATTAAAAAAAGTATTTTAAAATATTTAATTATAGCAATATACTGGGGGGGGGGGAAATTGATCATATTTGATTATTGGGGGGGATGTGTCCCCCTCTATATATTATAATTACGGCCTTGATTCAATAATATTGAAACATGTACATTGCAACGCCGCATGAGTAACCAGGAGACTCATCTTGTGAGTTACACCAAGTTTGTATTCTCCAGCACGTAGTCCATTCGAAAAGTTAGAATGCTTGACAAGCAAGAGAAGCAAGTGGAGTGTGCCAAATGGAAATTTCCTAAACCTCCTGCACCAAAAGCTCAATGCGCTGACCAGAGGTGTGGACTCGAGTCATGTGACTTGGACTCGAGTCAGACTCGAGTCATGAATTTGATGACTTCAGACTCGACTTGGACTTGCATAACAATGACTTTGTCCCACCTCTGAGGTGTGGACTCGAGTCATGTGACTTGGACTCGAGTCAGACTCGAGTCATGAATTTGATGACTTCAGACTCGACTTGGACTTGCATAACAATGACTTTGTCCCACCTCTGGCGCTGACACTGGGAGGGGTGGAGTGGGGCCACTGGGAGTCTCTTTGTTTTCGTGTTTCATCATCACCACATACACCACGGCTACCCCCACACACAAGTAAAACACAAATCCCCCATATACAGTACACACAAGGAAACACAGATCCCCCATGTAGCCTACACAGATTGTTGGGGAAAGTGCAGTTAGTGAACACCTATTCAGGCTGACATGGCACATGACGGTGTGGTGTGGTCAGTGCCACGCTCGGCCACCTGTCTCCCCAGTACTGATGTTTACACACTGCGATGGGTACTTGGTTAAGGCTGAATATGCAATAACAAACCTACACCTAATCGCAGAATCTGAATATTTATACTGGAGTAAAATCCAATCAGTGCAGTAGAGACAGGACAGGAAGTTACAACCAACACAAATACACGATAAGAGTGCAAAGTAGAGTGAAGGTGATCAAATTACTTAAATATACAAATGAAACTAAACTCTTTTTTTTATCTTACCAGATAAGGCCCAGAGCTATTATCTAATTTTTCAGAAGCTCGAGGAAGTGGATTATCACGTGAAAATTTATAGCAGCAAAATAATCTAAATGGATGTTTCTAAATGTGGAGAGAAAATCTGGAGAATCCAGAGATAAAATACAAGCGTCCACAGAGAGAACATGCACACTCCAACTATACAGCAGGTGTCAGGGTCGGGATCCAACCCCCGAAATCTTGCATACAAGGCGAGGAAGATGGCATCACACCACCATAAGTGTCACTTAAATAAATACATAAAAGTATGCAAGTTCAACTTGCATCAATTCCCAAGCTTGGGAAAGGCAGTAAAACAACAGCAATAAACATTCCCAGACCACACCTAAACAATGACAGTCTCTCAATAAAATAGTACATAAAAATGTAATTATTGATATATTGTTAAGCATTCCGAGGCTGTTGAAGTGCTGTTATTTGGTATACAGATATATGTATATGCAAAGATTAGAAATATCAAGTGTATTTATTTAGCCAAGTTTTTAACCTGGATAGTTCATTTACAAGTGTAATCTGAGACACCAAAATCGAAAATAAATTAGAGCAATGAAAGAGAATTCAGAGCAAAAACAACTTTTTTGCAAAAAATCGACAACATTACACAATCATTCATAAATTCCTTCTAGCTGAAGTCGACTTGGAAGATTATTTTTAGACCGATTATAGCTCAATTGAAAGTTAAAATACATGAATTATAAATAGATATAGGGTGACTATTGAAGTCATAAATAGACAAGGATATGTGCATGAGTGTGATACATACCCCTATATATGCACATTTACGAAAAACTTTCCTACTCTGTGAAACCATGGTGAGCTGCCAGACCATTTAAAATCCCCGCACCCCCGCATGCCCCCCGCTACCCCTTCCCCACAACCCCCAACAGCGCTTCTAACCACCACATTCATAAATACACTTACACATCAGAATCACCACGCTCATCAGCATTTTGGAGCCGCGTTTACCCTCGGCTCCGTGTGGAGCTCACAGAGAGCTCCCGCTCATTATCGTCTCAGAGTCGGTGTCGCGATAGAAGCTGTGTAGGTGAAATACGCTGGGCTGCTGTGCGAGTCGCGCGTGGGGCAGCTCCGTCTGCTGCAGGGCCAGCACGTCCTCTCAGCTTGTATCTAAATATCCAGGCCTCCTCGGTGAGTCCATTTGCTCCTCAGCTCCTGCTTCCCCTCCTCACTGAAGCCATTGTCCCCCACCCTGCAGCACAGAGAGAGGTCCACGCTGACGCGGGTTCACACGGAGCCTCGGCCAGCTCCCCACAGTTCGAGACCCACGCAGCCCCCACAACAACCACGCTGAAGGTCTCCCCATGCCATGAGAGCTGCTTTACCATACTTCACCACGCAGGTCATTGCAGGTCTGTGACGGCAGGGACTGCAGATCTAGGATCGTAGAATAGTTCAAGGCTAGATTGTGCTGCACACCGCAGTCTTTTGCCCGCAACTTAGCTCTGCTGCCTATAACGCCTGTGGTTATGTGCTGTGGTCAACCATCTAAGCACTATCCAGGCTCAAGCCTGCTTACCTTGCAGATTTGAGATCGGGGGCATTCCCAGTGGTTTGGCCATGTGCCTGCATCTGATATAATATTACATGCACTGGAAAAACATCCACTACTAATCCCACTTCTGACAATGGATCTGATAGCACATAAACGTCATGTGCAGGAGGCCCATTGCCCAAACGTTGCCTTTTCCATATTTGTTCTGTAAAGGCCACAGTGTTACTAACGAATCTAAGTTGTATTCTTGGTTTTTTCGGTAAAGTCACATAGAAGGCAAATAACAAAATAATATAAATAAAATGTTATTGTTAAAATGGGTTATATAATTATTTTTTTAAATGCTTTTTTTTATTCCCCTTCTACGTGACTTTACCGAAAGAACCAAGAATATGAATCCCTGCAGTCACGAAAGCTTTAAATTGGATATCTAAGTTGTTTTGTCTGTAGCAACAGAGTACATGTGAGACACGAGTAGCAGAGCTTACAAGAGTTCCCTCAATGCTTTGTTGGTGATCATGATGTCATGAAGAGCTGGGATCGATTTGTCCGTCAGTGAGCAGACCTGCAGGCTACAGGGAGAAGGAGGCACTGAGTGGGGTGAAATTGGAAAATAAAAAGTGTACACTCACAGGAAATGAAGAGCAACTCAACATCCTTAAATACAATTACAAGGGAGTAAATCTCGTAGAATCAGTTAAACAAAGAGGTAGGGAGTGATTATTGCGGACTCAGCAACGCAACCCTACTTGTCTATTATTTGTTTAATGCGGCTTTGTCCAACACGGCATTTTCCAGGAACATAACACCTCGCATTCGGCGAGGTCTGCCTGTGCGATATATTGCATTAAACATTGCGTTGGACCATGAAAGGCCACTGTAGATACAGGCAGTCAGAATCAAAATCTGAATATTTAAATTGGAGAATCCGATAAAGCTATAAAGCTCATTATCACAGAAGCCCACGCTACCCATTTCGAGGGCCAAGGCTGGTTTAAACTGTATATTGGGTAAGGATAAAAAACAATGTTAAAATGTATAGGAGTCGGCGTATAAGAGTCATTGGTGACTTTATGGCTTTAATAAGGATCATGTTGTTGTTATTTAATGTAAACGTATGGGTGGCCAATTAATGTCAAGCTTGCAGCCGATAGTTATATAAAATTATTATTTTAATTTATAACGATAAACACAGATGATCATCGATTATATCCAGAGCGTGCCTATCTGGCTTCCAACATCTGGTGAAACCGGTAAAACCTCTCCAAAGGCTGTATCATTCCGGCGACCGCCACCATGTGCGTGACAAAACAAGTAGCTATGCTTTTTTTCAGGATCAAACACTATATGCAGTACATTACACACTACATACAACTTAAACAATGAAAATACTGCACGTATATAAATGTTTCATGACTAATAACTACAGTCATAGAAACAGAAAACACACAGTGCGATCTGGCGGAAACTGCGTGCAATTTCGGCGTTCACCAGAACACTCATCTGAAGGCTGCATCAGTCCGGCGATTGTCAAACACAAGTTGTTGTTGTCAAACACAAGTCGTTGTTGTCTAACACAAGTTGTTGTCATACACAAGTTGTTGTCAAACACAAGTCGTTGTTGTCTAACACAAGTTGTTGTCATACACAAGTTGTTGTCAAACACAAGTTGTTGAACAAGAGCGTAGTACGCACATCAGCCCTTGCGGAGTCAATATTGGAGTGGTGAGTGCGGTACAGTAAATACAGTAACTTTTTACAGCAGGATATACATTTTTCTTTGTAGATTTATTTCAGAGATTTTCACATCGCAAACTATTTTAAAACACTAAATATATACAGAACACTTTAAAACATCATTTTCAAAAATATGCAAAAATAAGCTATTTTAAACAATGATGCGATTATCGAGTGTTTTTGAAAATCAGGCACCCCCTTCCCCCCGAATCTGCCAGATAATCGATGCTCTACTGTATTAGCATAATATATTTGAAACAATATCATTGGTTAGAGTATGTAACGTGACAATTGAAATGCTATTGTGATTTAATGGTGGTTTAAAGTGCTGTAATAAGTGTGGCTAATAACTTAATTGATGCACGCAAAAGAAAGTTATAATAGACGTTAAAATACTGTACAACATTATTATGCTATACCGAGTATCTTTGTGTTTTGTGTCCGCATGTGTATATATTTGTTTAGGTGTACTTATATAAGTGTGTGTGCGTGCATCAGGACATTACTCACTATAACATCTCCAAACTCCCTTCTCTCCCCAACATCCCATCCCCTAAAAGTCGGAGGCCGCTGTCTCCGATCTCGTTGTAATTCAGCCTAAACCCGCGTGGACGGGAGAAGGGACAGCGCTGACTCACTGAGCCCACGGGAACCGCGGAGTCAAACACGCGGTGAGTGAGGGACACTCACAATGGTGGTGAACATGACCAGACAACACACGTTCATGAGCAAAGCTGCTCATTGTTTAATGCTTCTGTGTTAGACATTTTATATATAATACAAATATCAGTTTAATCACAATCATCCATTCAATTATACTGCACTGTACCTTTATAATATGAAAAGTGTTTGCGTTAATATAAACCCAAAGTTACAACAGAGGATCACACAAGTACATTTTCATCGAGGAACACAGGGAGACGTTTACAATTAATGTATCTACTAACAATATGAATATTGCTTTAGCCTACTTGTTAAACTAAACAAATGTGTTAAGATGACAGTAAAACATGTTGAAAGTGGACTCGATTAAGCAGGACAGCAAGATTAAATGTGTTCACATTTACATGTTTACTTCAGGACGCGTTGCACCAACAATTAGCACAGTTTGTGCACAGAGCACATGTGAGAAACGAACAGCAGAGCTTACAGGAGAATCTTCAATCCTGTGTTGGCCTTGAGGATGACAACTGAGAGAGGAACCCGACTTGTCTGTCAGTGAACACTGACCCAGGCTGCAGGGAGAGAAGAGACGGTGAGTGGGGGCAGAGAGGATGGGTGGAGGGTCTGGGCACAGAGTGGGGGATGGTGAGAGGTGGTGGTGGTTGATGGGACAGTGGTTGAGAGTCGTGTTTGTGGAGACTGTGCACATATTCTTGGGTATTTCGGTAAAGTCAAGTAGATAGGTTCAAATAAAATAACAAAGATCACAAAAACTACGACGTTTCGATCGCAACACAAGCGATCGTCATCAGGAGAAAAAAGGGCGGGAAAGCTGCTGAGGCAGGCTGTTTTAAAGTTTTGAAATGGGTGTAGTACAAAGGTCATATGGGTGACTACACCCATTTCAAACCTTTAAAGCAGCCTGCCTCAATAGCTTTTTTAATTACACGCTTTCTATTAACTCTGTTGTTGTCGTATCCTCAAATCTTGTAACTCAATTTTAACCCACTTCCCAATGTGGTATCGACTGCAAATTTGGTATACTTATGACTTACTGATGATAATACTATATTCTATCATTATTATTATTATTTTTTAAACATTCTTTATATGTTATGTTTCAGCTTGGGTCTAATTGTCCACGCTCAACTGACGTTGGCTGTAAATCACCACGCCCCTTACGTTGTGGCAGCCTCGCGGCCACTTCCTGGAGTCGTGGAGTTCTGCCATTACGAGTACAGTACATTTCATTAAAGCGTGTTTAAAAAAAAGTATTTTTAAATATTACTTATTTCTCCTGATGACGATTGCTTGTGTTGCGATCGAAACGTCGTAGTTTTTTGTTATTTTATTTGAACCTATCTACGTGACTTTTACCGATTGACCCAAGAATATGAATTCCTGCAATCACAAAAGTTTTAAGTCAAAATTTAATCTATGACGCTAAATACAGATGATCATCGATTATATCGAGTTCATGTTTATCTGGCTTCCAACATCCGGTAAAACCGCTGCAAAGGCTGTACCAGTCAGGCGATTGGCACCATGTGCGTGACAAAACAAGTAGCTGTGCTCTATTTCAGTGCCAAATAATATATACAGTACATTACACACTACATACAACTTAAACAATGAAAATACTGCACGTATATAAATGTTTCATGACTGATAACTACAGTAACAGAAACAGTAAACATACAGTACGATCCAGCGAAAATTGTGTGCAATTTGGCGTTCGCCAGAGCACCGATCTGAAGGCTACATCAGTCAGACTGTCAAACACAAGTTGTTGTTGTCAAACACAAGTTGTTGTTGTCAAACACAAGTTGTTGTTGTCAAACACAAGTTGTTGTTGTCAAACACAAGTTGTTGTTGTCAAACACAAGTTGTTGTTGTCAAACACAAGTTGTTGTTGTCAAACACAAGTTGTTGTTGTCAAACACAAGTTGTTGTTGTCAAACACAAGTTGTTGTTGTCAAACACAAGTTGTTGTTGTCAAACACGAGTTGTTGTCAAACACAAGTAGTTATTGTTAAACACAAGGTGTTGTAAACACAAGTTGTCAAACACAAGTTGTCAAACACAAGTTGTTGTTGTCAAACACAAGTTGTTGTTGTCAAACACAAGTTGTTGTTGTCAAACACAAGTTGTTGTTGTCAAACACAAGTTGTTGTTGTCAAACACAAGTTGTTGTTGTCAAACACAAGTTGTTGTTGTCAAACACAAGTTGTTGTTGTTAAACACGAGTTGTTGTCAAACACAAGTAGTTATTGTTAAACACAAGGTGTTGTAAACACAAGTTGTCAAACACAAGTTGTTGTTGTTAAACACAAGTTGTTGTTAAACACTAGTTGTTGTCAAACACAAGTTGTTGTCGTCAAACACAAGTTGTTGTCAAAAAACACAATTTGTTAAAAAACACAAGCTGTTGTCATCAAACACAAGTTGTCATCAAACACAAGTTGTTGTCATCAAACACAAGTTGTCGTCAAACACAAGTTGTTGACAAGAGCGTAGTACGCACACCACCCCATGCAGAGTCTTCGATATTGGAGTGGTGAGTGCGGTACAGTAAATAGTCACTTTTTACAGCAGGATATCTTTGTATATTTATTTAAGCGATTTTCATATCGCAAACAATTTTAAAAGACTAAATATATATACATAACACCTAAAAACATAATCTTATTCAAGAATCTGCAAAGATAAGCCATTTTAAATAATGACGCGATTATCTGGATATAATCGATGATCTACTGTATTAACATAATATAGTTTTAAACAATATCATTGTTTAGAGTAGGTCATGTGACAATTGTAATTGTATTGTTATTTAATAGTGGTTAAAAGTGCTGGAATAAGTGTGGCTAATAACTTAATTGATGAGTGCATAAAAAAGAAAGTTATAAAAGACGTTAAAATACAACATTATGCTACTAGCTTCTTTGCCCGTCCTAGGACGGAAGCTGTAATATTTACGAACAAAAATGAGCAGAGTATAATTGTATATTGTGTTAATTGAATGGCAGTGAATCTTGCACGAAAGTTTGTCATAAAACACTTCACTGCATTTCACAATAGCACTGTATATAACTGACCTTAAATTTGTTCTAATTCACTGCTCTGATACTTTATTCTCTTCTGCTTTCGGTTGCTGGGGTTCAAATAAATTGGATTGCAGTACAATATCTGAAAAATCACCGAGAAATGTCTATTTAACTAAAATGTAGAAGCATAAATTAGACTTACCTTTTGTTCCAAGTGCTGAAGAAAAAATAAAGACCCCAAATCCACTTTGTTGCTGCGTAGAATTATTTATTAGATTCACTTTCAATAAAAAAAACGTCAAATTGAAAGTGAATTTGCGAAAAATATATATTTCCGCTCGACCTTCTTAATGACGGGGGGTGCGGCATGTGGAGTGACGTCACGCGCGGGACACACATTTCTGGGCTATTATAGTAGTAATACTGTATTCTTAGGTTTTTTCGGTAAAGTCACGTAGGTAAAAAATTTAAAATTAATAAAAGTAAAATAAAATAAAAATCACGACGTTTCGGAGGCAACACAAGCTTCCGTCTTCAGGTGGAACCGTCACAGCCCGACAGCTGTATCAAGTAAATGAGATTACAGGAAATACCACTCCGTATATATAATGGTTGAGGGGGGGGGCATGAATGGCCCACTTTTATTATTATGGTAATAAGGAATGGCCCACTTTTTAAATCCTTTATATTAAGTTTGCTTGCTTGCTTGCGTGCTTGCGTGCTTGCTTGCTTGCTTACGACCATGCAAACCTTTCGGTCGTTTTTTAACCCACTTCCCGTGATCCAATCAAGCTGACATTTTGCACATAGACTCGTTGTGCTAGACAATTAATGTTCGTGAAATTTTTTTTCCAAAATTTTACACTGTTTAGGGAAAACAAATTAAATATTTAATTACCAATTGTTTAATACTGCAGACAATCATCTGACCCATAGGTGGCAGCCATCTCAAGCCAGAGGACGAGAGGACTCTAACCGCCACGCATATAAAGGATTTAGAGTGAAAAACTTTGTTTTAATGGGTTATACTTATTATTAAATCCTTTATATTAAGTTCGCTTGCTTGCTTGCTTGCGTGCTTGCTTGCTTGCTTACGACCGTGCAAATCTTTCGGTCGTTTTTTAACCCACTTCCCGTGATCCAATCAAGCTGACATTTTGCACACAGACTCGTTGTGCGAGACAATTAATGTTCGTGAAAATTTTTTTCTAAAATTTTACAGTGTTTAGGGAAAACAAATTAAATATTTAATTACCAATTGCTTAATACTGGCAGACAATCATCTGACCCATAGGTGGCAGCCATCTCAAGCCAGAGGACGAGAGGACTCTAGCCGCCACGCATATAAAGGATTTATAGTGAAAAACTTTGTTTTTACGGGTTATACTTATTATTATTATTATTATGGTAATAATAATAAAAAGTGGGCCATTCCTGGCCCCCCCCTCAACCATTATATATACGGAGTGGTATCTCTTGTAATCTCTCATTTACTTGATACAGCTGTCGGGCTGTGACGGTTCCACCTGAAGACGGAAGCTTGTGTTGCCTCCGAAACGTCGTGATTTTTATTTAATTTTACTTTTATTAATTTTAATTGTTTACCTACGTGACTTCACCGAAAAAACCTAAAAATATGAATCCTTGCAGTCACGAAAGCTTCAAATCTAGAATTAGTAATACTGTGTTTTGTGTCCACGTGTGTATATATTTGTTTAGGTGTACTTATATAAGTGTGTGTGCATCAGGACATTACTCACTCTAACGTCTACAAACTCCCTTCTCTCCCCAACATCCCGTCCGCTAAAAGTCGGAGGCCGCTGTCTCCGATCTCGTTGTGAGTAACCCAAAACCCGGGTGGACGGGAGAAGGGATAGCGCTGACTCACTGAGCCCACGGGAACCGCGGAGTCAAACACGCGGTGAGTGAGGGACACTCACAATGGTGGTGAACATGACCAGAGCACACACGTTCACGAGCAAAGCTGCTCATTGTTTAATGCTTCTGTGCACTTGGGAGTAAAGGTAACCGCATTGACTTGGGTAACGATTTTACTGGCCGGGATTGCATAACGATACTCATTGTACTCAAAGCATGTAACGAGTGTGCGCGGCGAGAGGTGCCGGCGCGACCATATCGGGTGCCGTTGCGAGCACCGGTGGGTTAACTGGGTAACACGACGCGGAGGCAGGCGGTTAACGGGCGCCTGTACGGTATATAGCCTCCGTGGGAACCATGGCAAGTGGGAGACAGGGCCGGGTTACATTGTCTGATGGTGCCAGTAGGCACGTCACCAAAATTTTATCGGCCCTGGCAGGGTCCCGTCGAGTTGTGGAAATTTGTATGGACCAGAGTATGAGGATTCGGTGGGGTCGCCGATGGTGGCATGTTCACCCGTCGCGGTTAAATAAATATCTTCTTGGTTCTTTCGGTAAAGTCACGTAGAAGGGAAGTAATAAAATAATAAAAATAAAACATAATAAAATAAAATAATTCTCACGACGTTTCGGCCACAACGCAAGCAGCCGTCCTCAGGTGAAGAATGAGACCATGCCAAGCTAGAAGCTTATATATAAGCTGCGTTGGAGGTGGAAGAAAGAGCGCCTTAACAAAAGAATGTGCATATGAAGAGGAATTTAGCATATTCATGGAAAATGCGTAGGAGGTGGGCGGGGGGGTTTCAAAGTCATATTATGCCCATGCATTATGCAGGATCAACAGCACCAAGGGGGGGTGCAGGGATTAGCAGTAACAAAGGAAAGGAATGTTAATGACATGTAGCTGCAGTTACTCAACAACCACGTAGAAAACTAA